GTGCTCTGGTCCATGGGGTCACGAAGAGTCGGACACAACTAAACGACTAAACGATGATGATGACTAGAAGCAAACAAACTGCAGACAGCATTTAAAGACCAACCAGCTTAAATGAAATGGTGCAAATATGTTCATTAACTAAAGTGCCTGTTGATTAATCAGAAATGGCAAATTTAAATAATGGTAAAAATGTTAATTTTTGGTGTTGAGGTTTACACTTGATTAACTTTAGAAACTAGTTTAGCACCTTCCTGTGCTTGCAACAAGAAATGGACAAAGCAGCACTGCAAACGGTCAGTTTCATTTTTCCCCCAACAGGGAGTATGGCTTTTATTACATTGGAAACCATCTAGCATTGTGACCAATGTTGGTGACAAAAAGATTTGCTGGAGTTAATGAATGAATGAATTAAAAGATGCAGACAGCTGTATAAAACTCTTCACTGTTTTCCTGACCAGTCCAATGTAAAATCATCCTTCATCTCAAGATTGACATACATTTAGGGTTGACCATGAAGAAACTGAAATAGTGAATGAGATTTTCTACACCTCGGTTCAATCCTCAATCCAAATGGAGACGGTGGCCAAGAAATCAGAAGAAGACTGAAGCTCGGAAGGGCAGCAATGAAGGCATTTGAAGAGTTCATCGAGTCTAAGGATGTGTCCTTGGAGACCAAGATCAAGGTCATCCATACTATTATATTTCCAGTCACCATGTAGGGATGTGAAAGCTGGACAGTGAAAAAAGGTGAGATGGGGAAAAAAGGATTCACTTAAAAGGTGGTGCTGGAGGAAAATCTTTGCAAATACCTTGGACTGCCAGAAAGACCAGCCACTGGATCCTAGAGGAAATCAAGCCTGAATCATCTCTGGAGGCAAAAAGGATTAAACCAAGGCTGTCCTACTTTGGGCCCATCCTGGGAAGACAGAATTCTCTGGAAAAGACAAGAATGCTGGGAAGGTTTGAAGGCAGCAGGAAAAGAGGAAGACGAAGATGGACAGACTCCTTAAAGAAAACCACAGGGTTGAGCCTACAAGAGCTGAACTGGGCAGTGGAGGACTGGTTATTTTGGAGATCGCTGATTCCTAGGTTTGCCATCGTCAGAGGTGACTTGATGACGCATAACCACCAAATCTACAGCTGCAGAAGAAGAAGGAAAAATACAACACAGCCTTTTGAGGTCTGTCCTGCTTTCGGACAGACTCCTTAAAGAAAGCCACAGGGTTGAGCCTACAAGAGCTGAACTGGGCAGTGGAGGACTGGCTATTTTGGAGATCGCTGATTCCTAGGTTTGCCATCGTCAGAGGTGACTTGATGACGCATAACCACCAAATCTACAGCTGCAGAAGAAGAAGGAAAAATACAACACAGCCTTTTGAGGTCTGTCCTGCTTTCCTGCTACAATCCTGGCCCCGTGGCACCCCGACTTCTCCTCATCTTCAAGTCAACTTCTTTAAATTATGCCGTTCCCGTCTAGTGATCGGAGGTCACCCACTCCCGTTGCGAGAACAGATTGCTCTGCATGGCTTGATTCGCGGTAGGACGAGGCTGCTAAATATTCCGAAAGAGAAATGTGCATGCGGGGGTTGAAAGCCCCCTACAGCCCGAATGCTTCTCATTAGCTCTGGCGTGCTTTGCTGCGGAGTTAGCATTCATCGTTTGCCAAGCCCCCCCCAAGGCCTCTCCCTTCTCATGATGTCATCTGAATGGACCCTGTAAGGCCCCTCCGTGCCGTATTCAAGACTCACCAAACGTCTGTCCGAATTGGCCGGCCAAGAGACACTCTCTCTGCCGACAGTCAATGGACGATGAATACGGCTTTTTAGGGGGTGGCTTTCATCCATAGAACAGGAAGGTGGCCATGGTGAGGATGGGAGATGCTGGGAAAAGCACGAAATCTATTCCAGATTTTGTTTGCCTTGCAAGAGAGCCAACATGGCTGTTTGGGAGACCCAGCAAGCTGGTGGGGGCCACTGGAAAGAAGCCCATTGCAGCAGGCAGTGTATAGTCAGGGTACACAAGGGCCTGTGTAGAAGATACGCAGAATGGGCTATTGATGGGCCTGTATTGCACGCTCAGCCTCCCAATGGAATTCTGCTCACTGAGTTGCTCGCAGCCTGGGGTTGCTATGAAACCTCAAAGGAAAAGAATACAAATTCCTTTTCGGTGAAAATTGGGTTCCCTCGGTTAAAATCGGTGCCTCCCGTGGAAGCTTTCGGAGACTCGCCAGTCAGTTCCGTGGACTGTTTTAGGGTGAAATACAGAGATATCTGTTCTAAGCTGTTAGAGTGGTCGGGCGGGATTCCGAGACCTCTGTGCTCAAGCGCTCTATCACACTAGCGCAATCTACAGCAGAGAATTTTAAGGCGCTCGATGTATACAAAACCAGGCGTCCGTAGGGCAGAGCCATGACAACGGGAGAACGAATGGCACTCCCTTAGTAACGCTTCCTACAGACCCATTGAAATCAGTTCTAGCAGTTCTCCTGTAAGCGTGATTAAAATTTGGAGCCTCTCACTGCGTGCAGACCCTATTTTCAGGCTTGCCTGGTAGTGTCGTCAGGCGTTGCAGTAGCAAGCGTTTTGCTCTTTGTAGCCTTTTGGGCAATTTATTTGCCCTCCAACCCTGATCATGCCACAGTCTGTATCACTAAGGTCCATCAGCAATGGAACCAGCCTTTATGGCGAACGATAACTTTGGAGGAGACGCTGAGTGACCATGTATGTTTCTAACTGTATGAACCTTTTTGGCATATGTAGCTCTTACTAGAAAAAGTCAATGTCAGAAAACTTTTATCTTCACATCTAGAATCCTGACCTGGTGGCTGAGAATTGCAAAGCAATGTCTCCGAGTGATGTAATAAAGGACCTGATTATTAAGCTGCTACATCCATGTGTCAATCCTGACAACAGATCCAGCGCATGAATCCAGATGTGTCAAACCCACTGTTACAAGTCAAAGGGTTTATTCTAGTTAGGACTAAGAACTGAATCTAACCTTCCTCAGCCGTATAAATAATCACAGGTTGACAAGTCAATTCTGACTTAGGGTCACCTTACCCGAAGTTTTCTAGATAGAGAATACTCAGAGGTGGTTTACCATTCCCTGAAACTGCGTCGTGTGCCCAGGGCTACATAGGCTGGCTTTTCTCCCAGCCAGACACATAACACACCGTTTTACACTTTAGCAGCTATAACACAGCCCACATCAAGGAAAGGCACATTTGCTCAAATTTTCGGTTCCTCTGTTACACAATAGACCACCGTCTCCCACTATGAGCCTGCTCAGGTGTTACACTCATGGGGGGGGGGCTTCCTTTTGGTCCCACCACTCTCACAAATGTGCTTGGTGGAGACGCAGGAGCGGGGGGGGGGCTTCTCTGGGGCTGCTCCCAGACTTTGGAACTCCCTGCCACTGGAGGCCAGCCTGGCCCCATCTTGGCTGTCCTTCACAAGCAGGCCAAGACCTCTCTCTTCAGATGGCTGTCCCTGAGTGATTGGCTTTCTTTACTTTTTACTTTACTTTTATTCTGATTAAGACTGATCTTGTTAATTGCATTCTTCTTTTGCTGACATGATTGCAAGCTGCCTTGAGTCCCATTTTGGAGAGAAATGCGCCTTCTTCAGCCCTATAAATAATCACAGGTTGTCAAGTCAATTCTGACTTAGGGTCACTCTACCCGAAGTTTTGTAGATAGAGAATACTCAGAGGTGGTTTACCATTCCCTGAAACTGCGTCGTGTGCCCAGGGCTACATAGGCTGGCTTTTCTCCCAGCCAGACACATAACACACCGTTTTACACTTTAGCAGCTATAACACAGCCCACATCAAGGAAAGGCACATTTGCTCAAATTTTCGGTTCCTCTGTTACACAATAGACCACCGTCTCCCACTATGAGCCTGCTCAGGTGTTACACTCATGGGGGGGGGGCTTCCTTTTGGTCCCACCACTCTCACAAATGTGCTTGGTGGAGACGCAGGAGCGGGAGGGGGGGTTCTCTG